CGATGGCACAACCTGTCGCGATTCCTAGCTTATAAATTATAACTCGCAGCGATACTTTGCTGTGTGCTGCCACTCGCCAAAAACCAAAGGGTCACAGACAGCCTTTCTGCAGCACTTACGGGCAAGCTGTGAGTTCTCTCGTGCGAGATGTGAGGGGCAAGCCGCTGAAGCAAGTCGTCAAATCTGGCAACCGACATCCGAAAGTATTGAAAATGTCTTTCCTCATCAATGCTTCGCATAGGTTGGACAAGAGACGTGTATTCTCCATTGTCCACTCTTCTAGTGTTCAGTGGACTAATTTTCTCAGTCTTTTTTTTCTTCACCTCCTTAGTAGTAGTAGCAGTTCAAGGTCTTGCTGTTCAAGCTCTAGCAATTGCAATTCAAAAAGAGACATGTTTGCTTCTGTGGCAAAAAAAATTGTGTCGTAAAGCATAGAACCCCAGACTAGCCTGACATGTAGCTAGCATTTGTAAACAGGCATATAACACCGGATCCGGAAGTTCAAACGTCGTCGCTAGCTGGTCAAAAAGAGTGCCTCGGCCTCTCTTGCTTGGTAAGCTACTCTGGCTCCCCAAGCCCCCTAGTGGATATACACTACACAAGGTGGACTTCCTCTCTGGGTGGAATGCAATGAAAAGAGTCTGCTGCTCCCAAAAAAACGACTCCACCCACGTGCACACATGCACGTAGATCATCAGAGTGGAGCTTGTAGCCACGGTTAGTTCCCTCAACAGCAGGGGATATACAGTGAGGGAAAAAAGTATTTGATCCCCTGCTGATTTTGTACGTTTGCCCACTGACAAAGAAATGATCAGTCTATAATTTTAATGGTAGGTTTATTTGAACAGTGAGAGACAGAATAACAACAAAAAAATCCAGAAAATGTTATAAATTGATTTGCATTTTAATGAGGGAAATAAGTATTTGACCCCCTCTCAATCAGAAAGATTTCTGGCTCCCAGGTGGTAGAGCACGGCGCTTGTAACGGCAAGGTAGTGGGTTCGATCCCCGGGACCACCCATACACAAAAATGTATGCACGCATGACTGTAAGTCGCTTTGGATAAAAGCGTCTGCTAAATGGCATATTATTATATTATATTATTATTTAGGTAACGAGCTGAGATTAGGAGCACACTCTTAAAGGGAGTGCTCATAATCTCAGTTTGTTACCTGTATAAAAGACACCTGTCCACAGAAGCAATCAATCAATCAGATTCCAAACTCTCCACCATGGCCAAGACCAAAGAGCTCTCCAAGGATGTCAGGGACAAGATTGTAGACCTACACAAGGCTGGAATGGGCTACAAGACCATCGCCAAGCAGCTTGGTGAGAAGGTGACAACAGTGTGCGATTATTCGCAAATGGAAGAAACACAAAATAACTGTCAATCTCCCTCGGCCTGGGGCTCCAAGCAAGATCTCACCTCGTGGAGTTGCAATGATCATGAGAACGGTGAGGAATCAGCCCAGAACTACACGGGAGGATCTTGTCAATGATCTCAAGGCAGCTGGGACCATAGTCACCAAGAAAACAATTGGTAACACACTACTCCGTGAAGGACTGAAGTCCTGCAGCGCCCGCAAGGTCCCCCTGCTCAAGAAAGCACATATACAGGGCCGTCTGAAGTTTGCCAATGAACATCTGAATGATTCAGAGGAGAACTGGGTGAAAGTGTTGTGGTCAGATGAGACCAAAATGGAGCTCTTTGGCATCAACTTAACTCGCCGGGTTTGGAGAAGGAGGAATACTGCCTATGACCCCAAGTACACCATCCCCACCATCAAACATGGAGGTGGAAACATTATGCTTTGGGTGTGTTTTTCTGCTAAGGGGACAGGACAACTTCACCGCATCAAAGGGACGATGGACGGGGCCATGTACCGTCAAATTTTGGGTGAGAACCTCCTTCCCTCAGCCAGGGCATTGAAAATGGGTATTCCAGCATGACAGTGACCCAAAACACATGGCCAAGGCAACAAAGGAGTGGGTCAAGAAGAAGCACATTAAGGTCCTGGAGTGGCCTAGCCAGTCTCCAGACCTTAATCCCATAGAAAATCTGTGGAGGGAGCTGAAGGTTCGAGTTGCCAAACGTCAGCCTCGAAACCTTAATGACTTGGAGAAGATCTGCAAAGAGGAGTGGGACAAAATCCCTCCTGAGATGTGTGCAAACCTGGTGGCCAACTACAAGAAATGTCTGACCTCAAGGGTTTTGCCACCAAGTACTAAGTCATGTTTTGCAGAGGGGTCAAATACTTATTTCCCTCATTAAAATGCAAATCAATTTATAACATTTTTGACATGCATTTTTGTGGATTTTCTGTGTGGTTATTCTGTCTCTCACTGTTCAAATAAACCTACCATTAAAATTATAGACTGATCATGTCTTTGTCAGTGGGCAAACATACAAAATCAGCAGGGGATCGAATACTTTTTTCCCTCACTGTATGGCCTTAGAGAGCTAACAAATAATCATTGGCAATGATGCGCTCTTTGTGTCAAGCTTAGGTTTTGGTTTTCTGTTGCAGTTCCTTAGTGGTCTCTAGGTAGTATACAGGCTCATTGTATGAATGAACAAAATATGGATACGGCAAAACATTTACAAACATTTACATTTGGCAGACAATGCAGCCTATGTCCTTTTTTGAATAATATATGGAGCATGAATTTATGAAAAAACGTTTATTCTGTTCTTTGCACCATCTGCTTCCCACTGTTAGAGAGCGGTCTTACTCAACATTATACTATGCAGCACCATCCTTGTAAAGTGCTGCCAGAGACTATTTCCATGCCCTGCTGGGCCCTGTGTATGGATGATTTTGCCTGTATTACCCTGCATGGTCCTACTACAGTATGCTGCTGCTGATGGAAGATGCCATTTCCATCGCTATTCACACGGCCTGGACAAGAGGAACACCTCAGAATGTGGAAATGCTGTTCATTGACTACAGTTCAGCATTCAACACTATTGTTTCCTCCAAGTTCGACACCAAGCTCATAGCCCTGGGACTGGAAACCACTGTCTGCAACTGGATCCTGGACTTCCTGATGGTGGTCTGCACAGGCTGTGTGGATTGGCAACAACACCTCCTCCACACTGAGCTCTTAACACATGGGCCCCCACAGGGGTGTGTACTCTGCCCTCTGCTGTAGTCCCTGTTCACCCATGACTGCGTGGCTTTGCACGACACCAACTCCTTCATCAAGTTTGCTGACGACACCACGGTTGTAGGCCTGATAACCAACAACGATGAGTCAGCCTATGTGATCCTCTGTAGCTCAGCTGGTAGAGCACGGCGCTTGTAATGCCAAGGTAGTGGGTTCGATCCCCGGGACCACCCATACACAAAAATGTATGCATGCATGACTGTAAGTCGCTTTGGATAAAAGCGTCTGCTAAATGGCATATTATATTATAGGGAGGAGGTAAGTGAACTGGCATTGTGCTGCCAGGACAACAACTTCTACCTCAACGTCAGCAAAACAAAGGAATTGATTGTTGACTTCAGGAAGCAGAGGAGGGAACACACCCTGATCCACATCAGCTGGACTGCAGTAGAGAGAGTCAGCAGTTTTAAGTTCCTCAGCGTCCACATCACCAAGGACTTGACATGGACCAACAACAGGCCCTGTGTTGCTCAGTTGGTAGAGCATGGCGCTTGCAACGCCAGGGTTGTGGGTTCGATTCCCATGGGGGGCCAGTATGAAAATGTATGCACTCACTTAACTGTAAGTCGCTCTGGATAAGAGCGTCTGCTAAAATGACAAAAAAACAACAACATCAAAAACATCACCACTCTTGTCAAGAGGGCGCAACAGCGTCTCTACTTCCTAAGGCGGCTAAAGAAATTCGGCATGCCAGCCCGGGTCCTCTCCAAATACTACCACTGCAACATCGAAAGCATCCTGACCGGTTGCATCAAGGCCTGGTACGGGAATTGCTCGGTCCATGACCGCAAGGCCCTCCAGCAGGTGGTGAAGATTGCCCAGTATATCACTGGGACCATGTTCCCACCCATCCAGGAAATTTACTTGAAGCTGTGCCAGAGGAAGGCCCACAGCATCATCAAGGACCCCACACACCCCAGCCTCGAGCTGTTCACTTGAACTGGACTGATCACTTGCACTGACTCTCCGCACCTTAGCTCGCGCAAACTCGCACACACACACATCACAACTGCTGCTACCAGACTCTTATTATTATTGCTAAATATTGCACAATTTAAACACTTGCCCCCCAATCCCCCCATCCCCAAAACGTGTAAATATTGGACTATAAATTCTGCCTTCCTGTATTATACTTATGCAAAAATATATAAAGTAAATGGCTCAGTAGAATATTTTATGTTCGTATTCTTATCTTGTATTATTTCTTATTGTTGTTGCATTGTCAAGAAGGAGCCAGCAAGTAAGCATTTAGTTGGATGGTGTATACCATTTGTATCCTATATATATGACTAATAAAACTTGAAACTTGAAATGAGTGTTGTTTCTAACAGGCCTGTCTCCTCTCTGTCTCCCCCTGCAGGTCGTTTGGGGTGGTGTTGTGGGAGATAGCTACCTTGTCTGAGCAGCCGTACCAAGGCATGTCCAACGAGCAGGTGCTGCGTTTCGTAATGGAGGGAGGACTCCTGGACAAGCCTGACAACTGTCCTGACATGCTGTGAGTCCCCTGCTCTTTCTCTCAATGTCACTCTTGCTCAGGGACTGGGTCAGGCGCAGGAGAATTTCTCAATGACAGTATTAGCTACTTCTTTCAAGATGTGGTGTTTTTCCTGTTGTCTGTTCTACTGTTAGGCTTATTCCTTAGGTGCATTTTCTGATGATATTGTCCTCTAGTACCAGCTCACTGTCATTGTTCCCTAGCTAAATCTGCCAATATTTCCATTGTGGCTTCTATTTAGAGCTGAGGGGCCAAATGTGCGTACCATATCATGAGATCCATATGCCAGAGGGAGCCAAGCAAAGGCCTGACTGGTGACATTTACATCACAGGTTAAATGGAGCACAGTGACATCATGGCCCCCATGCTCAGCTGGTGGGACGGGAGCTCCCTCCTCAGCAGTAAGCCGAGGCCCATAGAAGGGATGCCACAGCCCGTGTGTGAAAGATGCCCCTCATTCCCGATTAGTGAGGGTGCGAGGAGACAGTTCAGTGTCTGCTCATCAGCCCTTTTCTGTAAGAGAGAGAGAGAGAGAAACATATATATATATATATATATATATATATATATATATATATATATATATATATATATATATATATATATATATATATACACACACAGTGGGGAGAACAAGCATTTGATACACTGCCGATTTTGCAGGTTTTCCTACTTACAAAGCATGTAGAGGTCTGTAATTTTTCATCCAGAATCCAGAAAATCACATTGTATGATTTTTAAGTAATTAATTTTCATTTTATTGCATGACATAAGTATTTGATCACCTACCAACCTCTCCACAATGGCCAAGACCAGAGAGCTGTGTCAGGACATCAGGGATAAAATTGTAGACCTGCACAAGGCTGGGATGGGCTACAGGACAATAGGCAAGCAGCTTGGTGAGAAGGCAACAACTGTTGGCGCAATTATTAGAAAATGGAAGAAGTTCAAGATGACGGTCAATCATCCTCGGTCTGGGGCTCCATGCAAAATCTCACCTCGTGGGGCATCAATGATCATGAGGAAGGTGAGGGATCAGCCCAGAACTACATGGCAGGACCTGGTCAATGACCTGAAGAGAGCTGGGACCACAGTCTCAAAGAAAACCATTAGTAACACACTACGCCGTCATGGATTAAAATCCTGCAGCGCACGCAAGGTCCCCCTGCTCAAGCCAGCGCATGTCCAGGCCCGTCTGAAGTTTGCCAATGACCATCTGGATGATCCAGAGGAGGAATGGGAGAAGGTTATGTGGTCTGATGAGACAAAAATATAGCTTTTTGGTCTAAACTCCACTCGCCGTGTTTGGAGGAAGAAGAAGGATGAGTACAACCCCAAGAACACCATCCCAACCGTGAAGCATGGAGGTGGAAACATCATTCTTTGGGGATGCTTTTCTGCAAAGGAGACAGGACGACTGCACCGTATTGAGGGGAGGATGGATGGGGCCATGTATCGCGAGATCTTGGCCAACAACCTCCTTCCCTCAGTAAGAGCATTGAAGATGGGTCGTGGCTGGGTCTTCCAGCATGACAACGACCCGAAACACACAGCCAGGTCAACTAAGGAGTGGCTCCGTAAGAAGCATCTCAAGGTCCTGGAGTGGCCTAGCCAGTCTCCAGACCTGAACCCAATAGAAAATCTTTGGAGGGAGCTGAAAGTCCGTATTGCCCAGCGACAGCCCCGAAACCTGAAGGATCTGAAGAAGGTCTGTATGGATGAGTGGGCCAAAATCCCTGCTGCAGTGTGTGCAAACCTGGTCAAGACCTACAGGAAACGTATGATCTCTGTAATTGCAAACAAAGGTTTCTGTACCAAATATTAAGTTCTGCTTTTCTGATGTATCAAATACTTATGTCATGCAATAAAATGCAAATTAATTACTTAAAAATCATACAATGTGATTTTCTGGATTTTTGTTTTAGATTCCGTCTCTCACAGTTGAAGTGTACCTATGATAAAAAATTACAGACCTCTACATGCTTTGTAAGTAGGAAAACCTGCAAAATCGGAAGTGTATCAAATACTTGTTCTCCCCACTGTATATATATAGAGAGAGAGAGGGAGACAGAGAGAGAGAGCAGGAATTGTTAGTCTGAATGAAGTCACACAGTGTGTCTGTCTGTCAGTCTGTCTTTCTGTCTGGGAAAGTGGAAGGGAACAGCCTCCCTAGCTGTCAGACGGCTCTGCTGTGTACATGCATTTCTCCTCTGCCTCTGATCTCAATGCGAAGGCATTCCCTCTTTCCCTCCACTCTCCATGGCTGACCTCACCTTACAGAGAGGGGAGAGAGGGGCGATTGTTATGCAGACTCAAACCTTGGGTTTCTATGGCAGCCTCACAGTGGTGTCCTGATTGCAAGAGAGTGTGAATTGTGTTACGCAGGGGAGGGAGAGTGTGGGGTGGAGGAGGGTTTATACTGGAAAGGTTGCCGCTGCTGGTAGCCTCTCCTGTAGTGAGTTAGTGGAGGGTTGCAGGACAGAGACCTGCAGAGCCAGGAGCCAGCAGGGGGCTGCAGAGGTGAACAATGCTGTAGTCAGTCTGAAGAAAGAGGGGGATTGAGAGAGAAGAAGACAACGATAACATAATAGAAAAAAGTATGAGCCATATTTGAAAGGTTTTCCGATCTTTACCATATATGGGTATCAAATCAAATCGAATCAATTTTTATTTGGCACATGCGCCGAATACAACAGGTGTAGACCTTACAACAATGCTTACTTACAAGCCCTTAACCAACAATGGAGTTTTAAGAAAAATAAGAGTTAAGAAAAATATTTAGTAAATAAACTAAAGTAAAAAATAAAAGAGCAACAATAAAATAACAATAACAAGGCTATATACAGGGGGTTCCGGTACCGAGTCAATGTGCGGGGGTACAGGTTAGTCGAGGTAAATTGAGGTAATATGTATATGTAGGTAGGGGTAAAGTGACTATGCATAGATAATAAACAGCGAGTAGCAGCAACGTAAAAAATGCAAATAGTCAAAATAGTCCATATCCCCAATTAGTTAGGAAATTCAGATTTCCAAAGGACCACTTTCCATCAAATCTGAATGATTATGGGGATGAGTGGAAAATTAAATACACATAGTCTATACTACACAGAACAAATATATAAACTAAAGTGTTGGTCCCATGTTTCATGAGCTGAAATAAAAGATCCCTGACATTTCCATACGCACAAAAAGCTTATTTCTCTCAAATGTTGTGCACAAATTTGTTTACATCCCTGTTAGTGAGCATTTCTCCTTTGCCAAGATAATCCATCCACCTGACAGGTGTGGCATATCAAGAAGCTGATTCAACAGCATGATCATTACACAGGCGCACCTTGTGCTGGGGACAATAAAAGGCCACTCTAAAATGTGCAGTTTTGTCATACAACACAATTCCAAAGATGTCTCAAGTTTTGAGGGAGCGTGCAATTGGCATGCTGACTGCAGGAATGTCCACCAGAGCTGTTGCCAGAGAATTGAATGTTAATTTCTCTACCATAAGCCGCCTACAACATAGTTTTAAAGAATTTAGCAGTACTTCCAACCGGCCTCACACCCGCAGACCACGTGTAACCACGTCAGCCCAGGACCTCCACATCCGGCTTCTTCACCTGAGACCAGTCACCTGGAGAGCTGATGAAACTGTGGGTTTGCACAAGCAAATAATTTCTGCACAAACTGTCAGAAACCTTCTCAGGGAAGCTCATCTGCATGCTCGTCATCCTCACCAGGGTAACTGACTTAAGTGGGCAAATGCTCACCTTCGATGGCCAGTGGCACACTGCAGAAGTGTGCTCTTCACGGATGAATCCCGGTTTCAACTGTACCGGGCAGATGGCAGACAGTGTGCATGCCGTCGTGTTGGCGAGCGGTTTGCTGATGTCTGCTTGTGAACAGAGTGCCCCATGGTGGCGGTGGGGTTATGGTATGGGCAGGCATAAGCTACAGACAACGAACACAATTGCATTTTATCTATGACAATTTGAATGCCATTCATCTGCCGCCATCACCTCATGTTTCAGCATAATAATACACAGCCCCATGTCGTAAGGATCTGTACACAAATCCTGGAACCTGAAAATGTCCCAGTTCTTCCATGGCCTGCGTACTCACCAGAAATGTCACCCATTGAGCATGTTTGGGATTCTCTGGATCGATGTGTACGACAGCGTGTTCCACTTCCCGCCAATATCCAGCAACTTCGCACAGCCATTGAAAAGGACTGGGACAGCATTCCACAGGCCACAATCAACAGCCTGATCAACTTCATGCTAAGGAGATGTCACACTGCATGAGGCAAATGGTGGTCACACCAGATACTGACTGGTTTTCTGATCCATGCCCCTAGCTTTTCTTTAAGTTATCTGTGACCAACAGATGCATATCTGTATTCCCAGTCATGTGAAATCCATTGATTAGGGCCTAATTAATTTATTTCAAATGACTGATTTCTTTATATGAACTGTAACTCAGGAAAGTCTTTGAAATTGTTGCATGTTGCGTTTATATTTTTGTTCAATATAGATATAATTCTGGGAATATCTAAGCTACTGTTCTATGGTGAAATATGACTAGACATTTGGTCCAATATTAGGAAACTGCATGAAAATAAATTGTTTTCTGAGTGGTGATATTGTGGAACATGTTAATGGTCTGCAGCTGAAGATTCCTGTTTACGTTAATGGTCTGTCATAGCATAGGTTGCTCTCTTTTGTAGCTCTCTCTATCTCTAGAGGCTTGCATTGGTATGGGTATTTATAATGTTGTGAACGATGCAACATTTACATTTCATGATGTGAGTGAAATGATGTGAAAGGTAAAATGTGCTGGAATGTGTTTGTGTGTGATGAGGAGCTGGGTGCTGACATGCAGACATGATTTACTGCAGCGTATTTTCTCATTTCACATCAGCGAAAGTTATACACAGTGACAGATTGTCCAGGAAGAATTTGCAGCAGGCCAATGCCAAGCAGACAGGTTACTCTGGTGCGTGGGCCCAGCTCCAAGCATTACAGCCATTTTCATGGGAGGTCTTGGAGCCGGGGTTTAGTTTAGCCATCTGAAAGACAACTTTAAGAGACTCACTCACTGAGAGGCTAAAGAACAAGCCATGACCGACCAACCCTCCCTCCCGCTGGCTCAAACTTAGTTTGAAGTTAAGTGTCTGCTTCAGAGAGAACTACCCAGAATGCTTTGGTGCGGAGAGGCTGTACAGGCTGTTGTGGGATCAGACATAGAGAGGTGGCTGCTGGGCGAGAGAGAGAGAGAGGGAGATGACTTGGTTGTTTATGTCAATAGGCTGAAAAAGTTATTCTTAGCTTGTTTATGTATAATGTAATACAGTTGAAGTGGGACGTTTACATACACTTAGGTTGGAGTCATTAAAACTTGTTTTTCAACCACTCCACAAATTTCTTGTTAACAAACTATAGTTTTGGCAAGTCAGTTAGGACATCTACTTTGTGCATGACACAAGTAATTTTTCCAACAATTGTTTACAGACAGATTATTTCACTTATAATTCACTGTATCACAATTCAAGTGGGTCAGAAGTTTACATACACTAAGTTGACTGTGCCTTTAAACAGCTTGGAGAATTCCAGAAAATGATGTCATGGCTTTAGAAGCTTCTGATAGGCTAATTGACATCATTTGAGTCAATTGGAGGTGTACCTGTGGATGTATTTCAAGGCCTACCTTCAAACTCAGTGCCTCTTTGCTTGACATCATGGGAAAATGAAAATAAATCAGCCAAGACCTCAGAAATAAATGGTAGACCTCCACAAGTCTGGTTCATCCTTGGGAGCAATTTCCAAACGCCTGAAGGTACCACGTTCATCTGTACAAACAATAGTACGCAAGTATAAACACCATGGAACCACGCAGTCGTCATACCGCTCAGGAAGGAGACGCGTTCTGTCTCCTAGAGATGAACGTACTTTGGTGCGAAAGTGCAAATCAATCCCAGAACAACAGCAAAGGACCTTGTGAAGATGCTGGAGGAAACAGGTACAAAAGTATCTATATCCACAGTAAAACGAGTCCTATATCGACATAACCTGAAAGGCCGCTCAGCAAGGAAGAAGCCACTGCTCCAAAACCCCCATAAAAAAGCCAGACTACGGTTTGCAACTGCACATTGGGACAAATATCATACTTTTTGGAGAAATGTCCTCTGGTCTGATGAAACAAAAATAGAACTGTTTGGCCATAATGACCATCGTTACGTTTGGAGGAAAAAGGGTGTGGCTTGCAAGCCGAAGAACACCATCCCAACCGTGAAGCACGGGGGTGGCAGCATCATGCTGTGGGGGTGCTTTGCTGCAGGAGGGACTGGTGCACTTCGCAAAATAGATGGCATCATGAGGAAGGAAAATGATGTGGATATATTGAAGCAACATCTCAAGACATAAGTCAGGAAGTTAAAGCTTGGTCGCAAATGGGTCTTGCAAATGGACAATGACCCCAAGCATACTTCCAAAGTTGTGGCAAAATGGCTAAAGGACAACAAAGTCAAGGTATTGGAGTGGCCATCACAAAGCCCTGACCTCAGTCCGATAGAAAATTTGTGTTAGAACTGAAAAAGCGTGTGCGAGCAAGGAGGCCTACAAACCTGACTCAGTTACACCAGCTCTGTCTTGAGGAATGGGCCAAAATTCACCCAACTTATTGCGGGAAGGTTGTGGAAGGCTACCCAAATCGTTTGACCCAAGTTAAACAATTTAAAGGCAATGCTACCAAATACTAATTGAGTGTATGTAAACTTCTGACCCACTGGGAATGTGATGAAAGAAATAAAAGCTGAAATAAATCGTTCTCTCTACTATTATTCTGACATTTCACATTCTTAAAATAAAGTGGTGATCCTAACTGACCTAAGACAGGGAATTTATACTAGGATTAAATGTCAGGAATTGTGAAAAACTGAGTTTAAATGTATTTGGCTAAGGTGTATGTAAACTTCCGACTTCAACTGTATGTGGTGTGTGGTGGAGCACCACACCAAACTGTAATGATTCTCTTTTTATGATGTTGTTTTGATGTTTTCTGTGTTCTGTCGCTGGCCTAGCTCAGTATGCTCATTTATGATTTACTGTCTAGTTATACACATTCAGCAGTATGATATTTGATGGTAGAATCTTACTGATGTTCTATGCAGAGTGCAGTAGCTGTTTGTATAGAAACCTCTGGAAGTTGTTTGGTTCAGTGAGTGTCAGAAACATTTTCATGGGCTCTATCTTGGTGCACTCTACCACCTTATGGTGAGAAGATGCAATGATAGATGTATTGGAACATATTTGAGTTGAATCCTTCATATTATGTATAATAAATGAGATCATGTGTTTGTGCCCTTAGGTTTGAGCTGATGCGGATGTGCTGGCAGTACAACCCCAAGATGCGTCCCTCCTTCCTGGAGATCATCAATAGCCTCAAGGAGGAGCTGGAGGCTCCATTCAGTGAGATGAGCTTCTTCTTCAGCGAGGAGAACAAGCCCCCGGACACTGAGGAGCTGGACATGGAGGTGGAGAACATGGAGAACGTGCCACTGGACCCTGCACCCAGCAGACCCCCCACTGCTGTCCCGCAGCCCTCCCAGGGACCCATGGGGGCCACAGGGGGCTCAGCGCCCCCTCCTCCCCAGCAGTTATGCCCAATGCAAGGCCCTTCTAATACCCTGATGGGACCTGGCTCTCCCTCCACCTCAGCCCCGGCTGCGTCTGCCTCAGCCTCCCCAGGCCTGGCCTTGGACAAGCACTCAGGACAGGTATCAGCCAACGGGCCAGTGGTGGTGCTGCGGCCCAACTTTGAGGACACACAGAACTACGCTCACATGAACGGGGGGCGCAAGAATGAGCGGGCGCTGCCACTGCCCCAGTCTTCAGCCTGCTGATCTCCTGCTCCCCTCCTCCCCCCTCAGCCAGATCACCCCACTCCTCCTCTTCTCACACAGGGTAACATAAACTTCTCCCCTGCTTTAGTTATAATGGGGTGATGGATGAGTGAATAACTGACAGACATTATACTACTCTACTGCAGTAGGAGTCTTTCATTTTTAAATAATATTATCAAGATTTATGATTGAATACCAAGACTGAGAAACAGCACAGAAACCTGCTAAAGCGTTTTGAGTATGGTGGCTCAGACCGAACAACAACACTGGGAAGCTCTAGTGTTTACTTCTTGTTTAGTATTTGTTACTTTTAAAAAATCCTTAAAGAAGGACATCATCAATATTCCCTGACTGACAGGTATTGTAAGTGAGAGACAATAACTTATAAAAAGAATTTGAAGCATATCTGCTAGAAAATCCAACAGACGATCCCATTTAGATAATTTCTGAGATAATAATGTGTATATCTGAGTGTGTGTATAGTGCATTCGGAAAGTATTCAGACCCCTTGACTTTTTCCACATGTTGTTACATTACAGCCTTATACTAAAATGGATTAAATATTTTTTTACCCCATAATGACAAAGTGAAAATAGGTTTGCAAGTATTCAGACCCTTTGTTATGTGACTCGAAATTGAGCTCCGGTGCATACTGTTTCCATTGATCATCCTTGAGATGTTTCTACAACTTGATTGGAGTCCACCTGTGGTAAATTCAATTGATTGGACATGATTTGGAATGGCACACACCTGTCTATATAAGGTCCCACAGTTGACAGTGCATGTCAGAGAAAAAACCAAGCCATGAGGTCGAATGAATTGTCCGTAGAGCTCCAAGACAGGGTTGTGTCGAGGCACAGATCTGGGGAAGGGTAACAAAAAATGTCTGCAGCATTGAAGGTCCCTAGGAACACAGTGGCCTCCATCATTCTTAAATGGAAGAAGTTTGGAACCACCAAGACTCTTCCTAGAGCTGGCCGCCCGGCCAAAATGAGCAATCGGGGGGAGAAGGGCCTTGGTCAGGGAGGTGACCAAGAACCCGATTGTCACTCTGACAGAGCTCCAGAGTTCCTCTGTGGAGATGGGAGAAACTTCAGAAGGACAACCATCGCTGCAGCTCTCCACCAATCAGGACTTTATTGTAGAGCACCGAAAGGACTCTCAGACCATGAGAAACAAGATTCTCTGGTCTGATGAAACCAAGATTGAACTCTTTGGCCTGAATGCGAAGCGTCACGTCTGGAGGAAACCTTGCACCATCCCTACGGTGAAGCATGGTGGTGGCAGCATCATGCTGTGGGGATGTTTTTCAGAGGCAGGGACTGGGAGACTAGTCAGGATCGAGGGAAAGATGAACAGAGCAAAGCACAGAGAGATCCTTGATGAAAACCTGCTCCAGGACAACGACCCTAAGCACACAGCCAAGACACAACGCAGGAGTGGCTTCGGGACAAGTCTCTGAATGTCCTTGAGTGGCCCAGCCAGAGCCCGGACTTGAACCTGATCGAACATCTCTGGAGAGACCTGAGATTATCTGTGCAGCGACACTCCCCATCCAACCTGACAGAGCTTGAGAGGATCTGCAGAGAAGAATGGGAGAAACTCACCAAATACAGGTGTGCCAAGCTTGTAGCGTCATACCCAAGAACACTTCAGGCTGTAATCGCTGCCAAAGGTGCTTCAACAAAGTACTGAGTAAAGGATCTGAATACTTATGAAAATGTGATATTTCATTTTCTCATTTTAATACATTTTCTAAAATGTCTAAAAACCTGTTTTTGCTTTGTCATTATGGGGTATTGTGTGTAGATTGATGAGGATTTAAAAAATAAAAAAATATTTTTAGAATAAGGCTGTAACATAACAAAATGTGGAAAAAGTCAAGGGCCGAATACTTTCCAAATGCACTGTATTTTTATACAAACACATGATTCTCTCGACAGCAAAATATAGCTGCTCTTCCAAACTTATTTTCATTGGTATACTTCTCCCACATTTCAGACATTAATGTGCTCTGGACTAGGATAATTGGTTTTCCTGTAAATATTCCTGGGTAGGAGGGAATTATTTGGGTAGATATGACAGAGGGGGGGCTATTGTGAATCGGCCAATTTTTTTGCCAAATCAAAGTTAGTGATTTTCTCCCTCTTGCTCTTCATTTGTCCTTTTGATTGGACATGGAGAGAAACACAATCAAGCATCCTAACCTGTTGATTTTGTTTTCTACTTCACAATTACAATCACATTGTAAAAGGAATCTGCCTGTTTCTCTTCTGTTATTTTTTTCTGGTTTACATCAGAGCCCTTATTGGATTCCTCTTCTATTGTATGTCATCTGAGAGATGAAAATACCAACATCACCAACAGAGACATTGAGTAAAAAGGACTTGGCGCCAAAAATGCAACACATACAGAAACAAACCTGAAGTGGAAGGTATTGGATCAGTTCTGATACAAGGAAAACTAAAGGACTCAACAGAACTCCACCTTGTGAGCGTACATACGTCTGCTAAAGGCATGCGAGGCATTGTACACAGCAGGTATTTTTTTAGACTAGTCATTGTCTCTCTGTACAATTCAAACATTTATATAAAGGTCTTACAGTTGTATGTTAGACCTTAGGATCATTTTCACACACATCATTGGTTTGTCACTTTTATAACTTTTATACTGTTCAGATGTTCACCTGTACAGAATGAAGCTGCTATTGTATTCTTTTTCTTTTGGGGATGTTATATATATATATATATATATATATATATATATATATATATATATATATATATATATATATATATATGTATATATATATATATATGTATATATATATATATATATATATATATATAAGAAATCCTTCAGGTTTAATAGTTTATGATCTCCACTACAGTCCATTTCTTATGCGTCATACTTCTCCAAGCAAAGAAAATGATCATTTAGATATAAAATGACTTTTCTCTCTTCTTTACCCCAGAATGTTGTCTGTATCACCACATATTGTCCATTGCCTTTTTTCTTTTTTATGAACATGTTTTCCTTTGCATTCTTTTTTTGTAGATTTCTATATTATTATTATTATTATTATTATTATTATTATTATTATTATTAGTTTGAATGGACACCTTAGCTCCTTGTGTGAGCATGTACGTTTGGCACCCTTCTTGTACCAGTTGTCTAGCACTGCACCTAGGTGCAACTCAATCTCAGGTCGAAGTAAAGGTTTTGCTTTCTCCATACATTCTCATTACTGTCCTCTGCTTGTTTCACCTCTCTGTCAAGTCCAATAGTGCCCTCTCCCCTCCCCTCCGGCCCCACACTGAAATGTACAGTATACCTGCCTCCCCCAGTGCCTCCTTTTGAAGTCAGGATTAGTTACACAGGATTTTCTTTTTTTCTACTGCATCTGGTATTTTAACCCATCCATTTTCCTGCCTCTCAATTAATAGGGCTAATTGGGTTGTCTCGTTTGCCTTAATTATCCCAACCACTCTCCATTCCCTCAAAGAAGACTCATCCATAATCATGGTTCTCTTTTTGTGTCTTAGCTTTCAAGCGCAGCATTACTGCTTATTCTCCTTTATCATTCAATTCATTTCTGTTGTCATACTCATTCTCTTATGATCAAAGTGAAAACAGTTTATGTTGTTTGTCTCCTTAAACATGGCATCTGTAAACCAAATAAGGATGGGTTAAAGTCCAGGGAAGTGGTCACATTTCAATGTCATGAATGGAATGGGTCTTACTGGGGGTGTCAGTATGAAAAGTGTTTTTGAAGCACTTCTCCTTTTGAAGAAGTGTTGCTTGGTTATACTTTTTTCCTTATTTGAAGGTTTTCTCTGTAGGATTGTTATTTATTTTTTTATTTTCCTTTTGTGATATCAGTTTAAATCACTGTATAAAGGCCCCATGATTCAGTATAAAGTTTGATTTTGTTATGTATTTTCTTTGGTGTCATGACTGGGGATGTTTTTCTTTTTTTCCCTTCAAGTATATATATCTACCTCACTCTTTTAAAATATATGTATGTGTATGAAAACAAAAGTACATCTCACCTTTTCTCATTAGTCCGTATAAGGTAACCTCACAGTTCTCTGGATCCGGGTAGACCTCATTATCAATACACACCACACACACACTAGGTTGGAGTGGAGATGGGATGTAGCTAGGGTGGTTCTAATTCTATCTAGTCCCATATGCTTAAAGATTTCTATATCAACTCAATTTTCTGCTATTTTCTGCTATTTTAAATAGAAAATAAAGTATGTTTGTAGTTAACTGAAAGTATGAGGATTATAATGTATATGGTACAGATTATGTTATGGGTTTGATTTAATGAAAGACGTTGTCTGGCCTGTATTTCTCAAGTCCAACTCTAATGGTTTGAGCACTAACATGCTAACCTGGTTACCTAATAATGCTAACTTAGAATAACATCAAATGACTATTGTGATGGGAAGTGTTTCCAGTAGGCTACACAAAGTCACAGTACAGTATGTATTGGTAGAGAGCAGGACACAGCCACCTCAGACATCCAGGGCCATAGCCAAGGACATTTTAAGAAAGTTGAATCTTATTTACTGCATTTCTATACAATTAAACTGTAAAATGCTATTTGGAGAACAGCAAAAACAAGCATTATCACATGGGTTGCTGTAGCTTCATTCACCTCAGTCGATCTACAAACACATAGCCTATAAATTACACAATTAGATTAAAAACTATAATTGAATACGTACAGAGGGATTTGTCTATCAGAAAAAATATTTTATTAACAAAAGGTGAACAAATACGTTTGCTATACATAACTATTTTTTGTTGCCGTTTTAGAGCTAATTTCCTGCAATTCTACACATTTTGCCATGATTTATGCCATGTTAATATGATTTCTGTGTGAGAGTAACTAACAAAATCAATGGAGGCCAGGGCCCCTGGGCATGTCTCCTGCGTTACCGGTCAGGAATTTGGCCATGATTACTATAAGTTTAGATAGCTGGCTAGACTAACTAGACTAATTTACCAATCTAAAATGTTTTAACGGACATGGGCTGATTGAGTGACTGTAAGTAAGTGACATATAACAAGAGAAAAACTGCTGATGCACAACCAAGTTTCAAAATTGCACCTTATGTATTCTACTATTCTAACTCTCAACAGTAAATTGTATTTTTTTATTACTGAGGTCTGGACCTCAGTGTCCTCATATGTAGCTACACCCTGCAGAAATCCCATCTCCCCTCCTCCGCAAACAATGATTTCACAATAAGAAATCCTCAGATCATACAGCTGCCAAGAAGGGTGAAGCTGAACGGTATCTTCTTTATTTTGTATGTATTTAGGTAGATTTAAAACAAATCAGTACATTGGAGTTAAGCAACAAACAAAAAAGTTTTTAATGGGAAACATTGCATTTATCATCTTTAATCATTCAAGACATTTTGCAAGACAGAAATCCTTTGCTGTTGTAATGTACTGTATATTGGAAAATAAGGTAGATCAGAGGATGTTTGGCTTTAGCCTGTATTCCGGATAACTAAACCACTACTGACATTGAAACAACTCCTATAGAATGTTTGCCAACACTGGCTTCTGGTTTCAGCTTAGACATTTCTTCTTGTAAAAATGTCAGTTGCTAATATCTATGTAAAGTACTGATTTCCCCTAAAGTATAAATGACGGCACTTATTTCTGTGAAACCCTCTTAGTGAAGACAACATAAACCATACTCACATACTCCTACACTCAATATCCCCATACATTTTCTCAAAGTCAGTGCTACAACTACGAAAAGGTGCTTTGTCCGTTATGTTGCTGGGAGCAGTTGAGTGTAGAAATAACCGGCATTAGCGAGATACTAGGTCAATATGGAGTAATTGTCTTACATGAAAGCAAAACAGGTTAAGACACCACATACTCTGTCCTGGGAGGGATGTCTCAAAGCAGACCAACTGTAGAAAGAACATCTACAGCTGTCTGCTGCTGCTCCACCTCCTCATGCATCTGACAGACAGGACACTGTTGGTTCATCTGTACTCCTTCCTCATCTAATCTCTCCATCCTATCCACCTGCTCCTAACGACTAGCTTTTCTAAATAACACCTACAAAGCTCCCACATTCAAATATTGTAGTAATCTTTTTTGTCCCGTTAAGATTTTTTTAAATAATTCCAATTGGCTTGGAATAGACTTAACATCTGAATAGACTCAGATGTTGAGGTAGTTGATGTTAATGTCCCTTCATTGTAATCTTCATCATCATCCTCATTGTGATTAGTTTTGAGACTGCACCCTCTTCTTTCTCTATTCTACTGCTGCTGATAATAGCGCTGCTTCAAAAATGGTGTCTCAATCTGGGGGTGGGCCAATCAAGACTGGGCCAATATCATTGGAAGTATAGTTGAGATGGCATGGTTGGATTTAGACCTCAAATTTTCATCAAAGGTATTTTTCATTAAGGGTCATAGAAAGGGGAAGCTCTGATTTGACCAAAAAGTCAAGTGGAGTTGAAGGCATATAAACATGATTCTGAGTTATGTTTACCAGTTGTTTAAGAAACAATCTTTTTTTGGTAGCGGGATGGAGAAAGGTTTTTGGTTCACAGCTCAACAAAACCTGGAAGGCTTAAGTGTTCAATATTCTGAAGTTATACTTTTTTTAGGCTTTAAATCCATTGGGGGGGATGAGTGCAGCAAAAGAGACTTGGTTGGATGAATGGCACATTGGCAGAAACAAACGCCTTTATATATATATATATATATATATATATATATATATATATATATATATATATATATATATATATATACTATACTATACTATATATATATATATATACTACCAGATTTTTTTTAAATAATTCAGATCACCTTTTTAACAAGGTCCCTGTGCTTCTGTTGTTGAGTACAGTTTAATGGATGGGAGTGTTTCACATTTAGATGTAGTGTTTCAAGTGTTGGTGTCTGTAATGATAAAAGATAGAGATATGTGATATTTATTTCTTCTTTTTTTCAGTTATCAAAATTGGTTAAAGGGTTGGCCTGTTGCGCAGTGATTATCTGTTTTCTTGGAATGCTGTCTGGGTTCCTTAGTTACCAGAAGGTTACATACCTATTATAACCACAACTCAAGTAGATACATGGACATAAATAGGACAGACATGTCCAGTAGATTACGGGTAGTCATGGCAGAGAGTAAATAGCATGACTAGAGTTTTAAGAAGAGTTGTTTACAGTAGAGAAATTGTTTCTTTTTGCATTGCCAATTTGCAAACATGGAGATAAGATTGACTGAAAAGGTTGCATTTCAATAATCATTAATATAATTTTAATTGTATTTTCTTCAGAATGTTCTATATGCAAACCTCAGGTTTATAGAAGATGCATCCATGCAATCAAATCGCAATAATGAGCTTGAGGTTTACCAGTATAATTTTTCAGGCACTGTTGTTCTGCTTTGCATTCCGACAACTTCAAAAAGGGGCCTTGATCTACTGAGAAGATTTTACGTAGTTTTTATTTACTTTTACTTTCACAAAATCTGAATCTCTGTGTCATTTCAATGATTGGCAAATAGATTTGGTTAAACAGCTTGTCTAGACTCTGTCTTTTTGCAAGTTCTGTATCTGAGGCCTCCTGGTTTTTCACACGTATAGTTGAGATGGTGTATTTTTGACATGCCATTCTCTTAATGTGTATCTATGAGAATTTCTTGTATTTTTCTTTTTTTCTTAAAATTTGAATAAAAACGTGAATGAGAAAGATGACTTTTTGTCATGACTGATTGCTTATCTCAACATACCCTGACTGTATTCCATTATTGTATATTTAGCAGAATGACTTTCTGTTTACAACACATTGATACAGTATGAATAGTAACAATAAGGGCGGCATGATCTAACTCACACCGGTCATGGGTCATCTCCTGTGTGCACTATGCCTGAGGTAGCCATGGTTGGGTCTTCGGGAGTCTTGGAGACAGTTGTCATGTGGTCTTGTGCTGTCTGTAGGGCCTCCAGCTGGTTGAGCATGGCCTGAATGACAGTCTGCAGCAGGGGCACCAGTCTGTCAGGAGTGGCCAGGCTGCCTGAGGCTGGCACGTGGATGAAGGCTGCCCTCCCATGGCCATGGTACAGAGAGCAGTAATACACAAAATCACACAGGTACCTGGGTAAGAGAGAATGCCTTACAAATCATTGTCTTTACTATTAATGTACAGTATATCTGAGATATATGGAACCCTACCTTCCTGCATCCCTTGAGTAGATGACATCCAGACCCATTTGTTTGAGGTCCTTGGAGAGGGACCTCATGTCTATGATGGAGTCTAGTCTGTCTGGTCCTCCTTCAACACAGCAATGATTGACAGGACAAAAGCCACACACATCTCTATCACTGTAACCATGGTTCTTGCCTGTCTGCTCCAGAGAGATGCCTCTGGAACCCGGGGCTATTCCAAGGTGTATGGCAAACTTGGAATCACAGACAAAAGTCAGGAAGTCAATCTTCACATTTGAGTACAGTAATGGGGCTGAAAAGCAGTATAGACACAGGTAAAGAAGCAAAACATGTTTTCGTTATTTGACTGTTAGAAGAGGATTGCACTCTTGTCCCAACCCCCCTTCCATCATGGTATGCATATTTACCTTTGGGTTAACAGTTTCCCACATGCCAACTAGTGGTTAAGAGCGTTGTGCCAGTAACCGAAAGGTCGCTGGTTCTAATCCCCGAGCCGACTAGGTGAAAGATCTGTCGATGTGCCCTTGAGAAAGGCACTTAACCCAAATTGCTCATGTAAGTCGCTCTGGATAAGAGCGTCTGCTAAATGACTAAAATAAAAATAAAATAAATAAAATAAACTATGACCTGCTGTGATTTGGTGTAGCTCACTGGTACCTCTTTAATGTAGATATTAATGTTCTCTCCCAGTCTGACCTTCCCCAAACCCTGTTGCAAATGCAGGACATAAGATATATAGTTTACACAATAACTAAATGTATTGAATTAAATGTACACATTCAATTGAGATACCCAACATGTTACATTACCTGAGCTGCCTGCCAACTTGGATTTACTAAGTACTGTCTGAAAGGTCCGAACCCTGATAAAAAATAAAACAGAACTTGTCCAAAGGGGAACACCAGCGCTTTCCATTCCAGTAGCCAAACAATAGCCTACATAGCAGGAGCATACATTTCTCAGCTGTCAATAAAACATACAATAGCCTAATATAACTTCGAAATAAAACTTTAAAAGTAACACAGACCAGTTAATACCACGGCGACTTCATCTGCGTCCATTACGCGAGACTGATACTCTTCATTTTACACAGGCAGATGAGTCAGAAATATTCTGTACATTCAGAAATTAGAATCCCTACCAATGAATAACATTTATGTCCGTGACGTGTAATCAAGAATAGTTTGTTAAGAGCCTTCTTTTTTAAATGTAATTTGTAGGCTGTAGTCAACTGTCTCTGTTGGAACGGGTGCGCCGTTGCATTGTCAATTTCTTTCCACTTGGGAGAGCTATATCCCACCACCATAGCAAAAGCAAATAAGATTTTTAACCCACTAACATCTGCCAGGATAACGGGCCGCTAGAAGCCATGATTAAGTCTCCGCCCACCTTCTGCACTTGACAAATCAAGCCCTCATGCTGAGTTGTATCACAGCTCTGCTCCCAGACACACTCGCAAATACGACCAGAACAACATTTTCTCCGTACTGAAATATAAAGAAGCGAAGGAGTAACATTTGTAAATGACAAGATGTTACAATTCAGGAGAAGCTTTGAAGCCGAAAAACATCAATTACAGGAGCTCAACAACAGACTGGGCCAGTACCTGTCAAGAACAAAGCAGTTGGAGCATGACAATGCAATCCTCATAACTGAAATAAACAAGATAAGACAAGAGAAGACGGTGGAATGGGACAACCAATGTATGGCTGAAATGCGGGACCTGAGGAGAATGGTGGGGCAACTATCTTTCGAAAAGTCCAGAGCCGAGAGGGAACGAGAGAAGCTTTGGCAAGAGTTTCAGATGTTACAGTCGATGTGTTGTGAGGAGCATGTGGTATGCAAAGACATAGGTGGAGAGCTAAAAGGCTGCGAGAAGCAGCTTCATAAAGCTCAACAGACCAATGGGGAACTTGAAGAACGTCTGTTCCAGCTTGAGAACGAGTACAAATTAATTGAGGATGCACACAGACAAGAAATTACCAAACTCCGGAGCCAGGTCCATTCACGACCTATTGTTACCCAAACGTACCATGGTCCTCCAGTGGTCTCGATGGAAGAGATGCAACAGTATGCTCTCAGCCTGTCCGAAGGATGGATGGACACCTTAGAGATGTATCGTAGGAAGGTCGAGGATATGGAGGAATCGATCAAAGCAGACCAGGCAAAGCTGGATGATCTCCAAAGGGAAAAGATGCATTATGCCTCAGAGTTTGACAAATTACGTAAAGTGGCTGAAAAGCAAGGTCAGATTCAAATACACCTGGAGGAACAGCTCATAGACATGCAGGAGAACTTCCATGGGGACATCACCCAGTATCAGGTTAGCAAATTGGGTTTGCATTTGATGTTTAGACACCATTCTGTGTCTGTCTTTTTGACAGTATATATACAAAAGTTATAACAATGCAAACATTTGTGTTATTTTTGGTTCTGTTCATGGATCATGAAATGCATGTATTTCTACAAAGTGATGGATGCGGCGCACAGATTGCCCAGCCTTTCCATCAGAGCTGACTGCCTCCTCCTTCTCTAGGTGCCACACCCACTATCTTAGGAGAAAGAGCTGTATTGTTACTCCATAGTAAATGCAATTGCTGCAGTCTCAAACATCGTTTTTTAAAATCATATTTTATATTATGATGCATAATTATTATGATGAGTGAGATGGATCCTTTACCTCCTTATTATGAATTATACTGCTATGAAATTTCACTATATGACTGAATTTATTGATCTGATATATATGATAATGTTCACAGTATGCTTTCAAAGTTATGTTTAAACGACACAAAATATGCATATATTTAATGGAACAGCATAGGGCACTCTTGCTTAGGTGTGCATGTACTTCAATCACCAATCACATTGGCTCACAGGAATTAAAAAGAGGAGCAAATGTTACTGCAGGAACTAAGAAATTGATACATGAGCCACACCTCCTTGTGAAGTATCACTTTCCTACTTGGAGGGGCCTTGTACTACTTTGCGATTCTAAATGTGCACAACTACTCCATATAAACTATCAACCAGCACCTGTTCCCAGACAGGCCTGTTGGGACCACAGTGAGGAGTGACATTTGGTTGTATCACACCGATTTTATCTTGAGCGGATGGTCAGGGGGCCGGAACATAATTACAAATAATTTGTAGACTGCAAATTGACCACAAGAAGCCCAAACAGATGTAATATTTGACTAAAACATCATCATTTCAAACCTTGCGTGTATTTGTCACGTGTCTCTTTATTATAAATGTAACTACTTGAGAAAAGATGACCAAAATTAAAATCACTTTCCTGGTGTTTCTTTATGTCCAACAATGAACTTTGTTTTTTATTCTTATTTTTTTGCTCAGAAAACTCAGGGGGCCAAATAAAACCACCCGCAGGCCAAATTCCGCCTGTGGCCGCCAGTTGGGGAACCCTGCCATATGCGAGCATAAGACTAGACTTAAAGGGACAGTTGTTTACCTAGCTGTTTAGTCTGATGTGTTAGAGGGATCACCCATGATTCAGCCAGTTCATCCTGCTTCTCCTTTAAATGAGAGGTGACTATGGAAGGTGTCTCAAGGGCCTTGAAACAGGTGCACAACACAAACAGCACTGCCACGTTCACCCTTACACACTCAATACAATTGGATCAGTTACCTACTGAGGGATAAATGAGGAGGGTTAGATGGTGAACCAAAATACCTTATTGAAACTGACACATAGTACAATGAATGATCATATGGGTACTGTAGAGGGATAAATCTGGACAGTAAATTGTGGCCTGAAAGATGTGTTTATATTCGTATTCGGGGTACAATCTCTCATCTGAATTCCATACATCTGATATTGCAATATGTAATGAGCAATGTAGTAAATGTATTAATATGTAATCCATATAGACCGACCCTATAATTATAGTCTCATAACAGTATTTGAGAAAAATGTAGGGCAGGATAGAAGACAATGTTCACAATTACATTCCATTGTCTCTTTGCAGGTGATTATTGATGAGTTGGAGCGGGAGCGGGAAATGTTGGCCAACACCATGGCAGAAAAGGTCAGAGACCACCAGCAGCTCCTGCAGATCAAGATGGATCTGGGCATGGAGGTGGCTTACTACAAGTAGGTCTTCCTATGTACAGCTAGTCCTTTCTGAGTTATATAGAGACCACTATAGAGACTTTTAGCAGAGATTGCTGTTATGCAACCAACAGTAGTTACCAAGACATAGTACTAACAACCTTACTTCCCACATGATCCAAGCATAATTAAAACTGTCATGTTACATTATTCTGCCTCATGGGTTAGAGCTTGTGCAGTGCTCCTTTTTACTACAGTATCTTTGGAAATCAGTGGAGGTGGCTGAAAATGCTGATTCTCAGGAAATGCTGAGAGAATTGTGGTGTAGTGCTTTTGTAAATACAGTGAGTTTATTATTGCAGCTTAATAATACCATAGAATTACAAAGCAGCCTTTACAGTATAGTAATACATCTGTTTTGCCTGTTGAAGCTTGTTCTGTCATGTTAGGCCCAACACAGACCCTTCAATGCTGCAGTGTTGTTGGTCTTGAAATGTATTTGTAGTGATTTCACCCTTCACTGTAACTGCAAAGCAACTGCTCTGCTGCCCTCCCATTTGGCAGGGGCACTTAGCATTCCTCCACACAGCCTTCACCAATATTAACTCCTAATGTTATCCACAATGTGATATCTGTAGGGATATTTTGCTCATTTGTAAACAGCCAAGACCTAAACAGTTTGGTCTGAGGTGAACAGGAAGTATGTGCTATTCATTTCTCTGTTAGAAATAAAGTATTGAAGTGATTTGTGAAATGTCTTGTTGAGCCCTGATATGGCAATGCCAGACTAATACAATGTCACGACAAATCATATTGGTGACATTGGATCACTTCAAGAACACTTCAATACTATCATAACAGAGGCTATTTTAGTCCCACAACACTAGTACAATCCATGCACATAGTTATATCAAGCAATGACATTTAAAATGAAATATCCATGTCAAAACTCATTTGCTTCACCCCTGTTATCCTGCTTTCAGAAATGTAATACAAACACTGGTCTCTTTTTGTTTCTTCTGGTCTGCGGCCTATATCAAGGATATTTATTTACATAATATTCACTGGTCTCCCTAGGCTCTGTATGGAGTTCTCTTGTAAGCCTACTTAGGCCGGTACATCTGCACTTTGTTTAAAATATTTGGAATAAATGAAATGTCTTCCTTGGAGAGTTAGTGGGAAAGCTGGTCTGTCTCTTAGTGTGCGTGCCTGTGTACACATTAAGATCCACAGTAAAAAGCAGACAGCAATGCATTGTAGCTGTTATTTTTAGGTTAGCCTTTCAGGAGGCACACCGGAGACTTTCACAGGGGTTATAGCTTCAGCAAAGTCTCCTACGGTAGCTTTTGTTTTCCAGCGCTTATTTTGTGGAGCCATTGCTTTGCCGAGGTAGGTGAGCTGTTCAACTTTACTGGTACAGTATGTTTGTTGTTAGATGTATTTCGGTCTGTTGTGGTAAAGTGTTGTTGTTGACCTCTGCTCTTTTCTGTATATGGCCAGACCCATGCATTGTGTTCATCGTCTGGTATCCTACCTCTGAGTTTGATTTGAGGTTTGAGATGGCAGGGCAGGATGATCAGCATCCTCCTGTGAGGTGATTGTATTTGTTTGAAAACAAACCATTGCTTCATTTTGAAGAAGCAATATTGCCCTAAGAATACAAATCTAATCATTTCATTGCCATGTATGTACCCTTGGTTTTAATGCCATTTTGTTTTTGTTTCTCTATAGGGCACTTATTGAAGGAGAGCATCAGCAATATCTGCAGTCAAGAGAAAGAGTCATAGGTATTGTACATTATTTTCAAATAAGTCATACTTTCGGCTGGGACGTTTGTGTTACTATACACTTGAGAGTAAATTTACTTTAGGATTTTTTTCTATTGGTGACATCATTTTAGTAGCATTCATTAGTTTTTCTTAATTACACAAACAACAGGTAATTGCCAAAATAAAGGAAACATCAACATAAAGTGTCTTAATAGGACGTTGGGCCACCATGAGCCAGAACAGTGTTAAATTGGTTTGATATCTGTTGACTGAGACGGCCATGGCATATGGTTTACAACGTTTTCATGCTCATCAAACCATTCAGTGACCACTCGTGCCCTGTGGATGGGGGCATTGCCATCTTATGGGGGCATAGCAATGGTAGCCAAAATAATGGCCTGCCCAGCTGTTTTAAACATGACCCTAAGCATGATGGGTTGTTAATTGCTTAATTAACTGAGGAACCACATCTGTGTGGAAGCATTTGGTTTCAATATACTTTGTATTCCTCATATTTCCATGTTTGTCAGTTACCTGTATATACAGTGTACAAAACATTATGGACACCTGCTCTTTCCATGACATAGACTGACCAGGTGAATCCAGGTGAAAGCTGTGATCCCTTATTGATGTCACTTAAATCCACTTCAATCAGTGTAGATGAAGGGGAGAAGATGGGTTAAAGAAAGATTTTAAAGCCTTGAGGCAATTTAGACATGGATTGTGTATGTGTGCCATTCAGATGGTGAATGGGCAAGACAAAAGATTGAAGTGCCTTTGAAAGGGGTATGATAGTAGGTACCAGGCGCACTGGTTTGTGACAAGAACTGCAACGCTGCTGGGTTTTTCACGCTCAACAGTTTCCTGTGTGTATCAAGAATGGTCCACCACCCAAAGGACATCCAGCCAATTTGACACAACTGTGGAAAGCATTGGCGTCAACATGGGCCAGCATCCCTGTGGAACGCTTTCGATACTGTCCATGCCCCGACTAATTGACGCTGTTCTGAGGGCAAAAGGGGGGGTGCAACTTCATATTAAGAAGCTGTCCATAAAGTTTTGTACACCCAGTGTATATGCAGTGATAGACATTTCCCAATTTATAACAGCATTAATTTGGTGCTTCACTCTCTACCTCAGATATTAAGATGATGCCTCCACAACACTACAAACCAAGAGTTTCCACATCAACCAGACAGGATGTCAGGAAACATCTGGATGTGAAATACATGGAGCCAACCTCAAGCTTGAGAAGATCACCTGTTCCATTTCAGTATGGTCGCACCAGTCCTTCCAGGGTCATCCCTATCTCAGTCACAGGCAGCAGCTACAACAGGAATCAGAGTCCTGCCGCCAGAAGGGACATGGTCTCATTCACTAAATCCCAGTCTGCATCCTCAAGCTCCTCCTCCACTACCGTTAAACCTGTGGCCCAGAGTACCGACAAGAAGAATATAGATGCTCAGAAGAAAGTTGTGGAGGAGAGGAGTGTGAGAATCAAAAAGGTATCACAACACTCAGCTAAGGATTCTCTTGACCATTCTCGAGGCACAGCAAACATGTCCAGTCCCATTGCCTCACCCACTGCTGACCTAAAATCAGTGAGAATAGTGTCACCACCAATGATGAGTCTTAGCAGAAACACGGAGGAGGACAGCAAAAAGAAAGCAGAGAGGCAAGTTGAAAGAGAGGTGAGAGGAAATGCATTTGGTCTTCAGAATGTCAAGATGCATGCTAAAGAGGGCAGCATTACAGGAACCACGACAAGTGATAAGATGGTTCTAGACTCTGTGTCTATGGAGGAACTCATTGAGAAGGTCATGAAACCTGCTGGTTTGGATCGAAAGGTCTGCAGCTCATCTCCAGACTCCAAGATCACTTACCATGTGGAGAAAACGGAGCAGGAGGACGGGTCAACAAAGACACAGATTATCCTGGAGTCCAAGGTGCAAGAGGAACTGGATATGTCAGAGGACTTTGCACTGGAGGAACTGCTCAGCAAGGGAGTAAAACACGTGTCACTGGAGGATATCAAGGGCACTGCAACAGGAAACATGATTCAGAACCTGCTCAGCCTTGGGCTGCATGGAGGAGAGGACATGGGAAACAAGTCTGTCAATGTGGAGATCATCGAAGAACCAATGGAGGGTTACAGTGACGAGGAGTACGAGTTTGAGGAGAAGTCCACACCCAAGTTCTCCAAGCCCTCTTCAATGTTCTTTCAGATTGAAGAACTAGAGAATGACCCTAATGGCACCAAATACCATGAGAGTGGTGCTGAAGTAATGAAAACCTCCATGACAGCTGCAAACTATGGCAGTAATGGTGGCTCTGTGAAGGTCCAGGAAGACTTCAGAGATAGTGAATCTCCATACTACAGTCACGACCAAGAGTCTCAAGAGTATTTTGTCTCCACACCTGATGGCAATCTGTCAGAGCCTGAGGAGGGTGGTGTTATTGCATCATATGGAAATGGTGGACGACCTTTCAGTGGTGGACGAGTGGTGGACGACCTTTCAGATGAAAGGTATTACCAGGAGGGGGGACTCTCAAAGAACAGAATGTTTGTTGGGGAAAGCGATAGTTACAGATCTGCATCGGACAGCCAGTACATGAAAGGTGACCAGTCCTTGGACCGAAAGAGTTTCCCAGAGTGCATCATTGAAGTGGAGACCATCAATGTCTCCCCCACAATGCAGGAGTCAATGCTTGGATACCTGAGAGAGGAAACTCTGGACCCCAAAGAGCAGCTGAGGGGAGCCCTAGAGCAGCTCCAAGGGACAGGGAGCCTGAATGAAGAGTTGGCTCTCCTCACAAGAGGCGGCAATGATAGTCCTCAGAACATGTCTATTGACAAAAAAAAAGTACACCAGTCCTCTGACAACAAAACCACGACTATCGTGGCAGAGCTCAAGAACTCAACAACTCTGGAGGACTCCGGGTTGCAGGGGGATGATGTATCTGAGGAGCAGATCATGGCGGCTCTACGCTCCTCCAACCACAACCTTGGAGCAGAGGGAGGATACACCTTGGACACCAAGGAGATGTGCTGGGTGACTAGCAGTGAGGGACAGGGAGGAGAGTCCACAACTGATGTCACTGAGAAGCACATCAAGCTGGGGCCATCAGAGAAGTCCTTCACCTTCCAGATGGATGTAAATAACGGCCAAGGACAGGATCCCCCACTGAAGGTCACTCATAAGAAAAGAGTTGCCACAGTCTATCTTGAATCTAATGAAGATGAGTTCTGATTCAAATTAGATATTTTTATTATAATACTCCCCATATTAAGCCACACACCAGTCAATCAGTTGCAACGAACTGTAAGGGGACGTTATTAGATGTGATTCAGAAATTGCTATGCCTACAATCGTGGTAAGAGTACAAATTATAGCTACTGCATATACATGTATATAAAAAAGTTTTAATAGCATTTGTTACCCATTTTCACACATCTCTCTGCTTCTCTTTAAGAATATGTGATATTAATTTCCTGCTATATTTTTGTACTAACTTGTACCACAGCATAGGGCTCTCTTTTTGCCTGAGATACTATAACCAAATATGGAATGATGCTAATATATATATACAGTGGGGAAAAAAAGTATTTAGTCAGCCACCAATTGTGCAAGTTCTCCCACTTAAAAAGATGAGAGAGGCCTGTAATTTTCATCATAGGTACATTTCAACTATGACAGACAAAATGAGAGAAAAAAATCCTGAAAATCACATTGTAGGATTTTTAATGAATTTATTTGAAAATTATGGTGGAAAATAAGTATTTGGTCAATAACAAAAGTTTCTCAATACTTTGTTATATACCCTTTGTTGGCAATGACACAGGTCAAACGTTTTCTGTAAGTCTTCACAAGGTTTTCATACACTGTTGCTGGTATTTTGGCCCATTCCTCCATGCAGATCTCCTCTAGAGCAGTGATGTTTTGGGGCTGTCGCTGGGCAACACAGACTTTCAACTTCCTCCAAAGATTTTCTATGGGGTTGAGATCTGGAGACTGGCTAGGCCACTCCAGGACCTTGAAATGCTTCTTACGAAGCCACTCCTTCGTTGCCCGGGCGGTGTGTTTGGGATCATTGTCATGCTGAAAGACCCAGCCATGTTTCATCTTCAATGCCCTTGCTGATGGAAGGAGGTTTTCACTCAAAATCTCACAATACATGGCCCCATTCATTCTTTCCTTTACACGGATCAGTCGTCCTGGTCCCTTTGCAGAAAAACAGCCCCAAAGCATGATGTTTCCACCCCCATGCTTCACAGTAGGTATTGTGTTCTTTGGATGCAACTCAGCATTCTTTGTCCTCCAAACACGACGAGTTGAGTTTTTACCAAAAAGTTATATTTTGGTTTCATCTGACCATATGACATTCTCCCAATCCTCTTCTGGATCATCCAAATGCACTCTAGCAAACTTCAGATGGGCCTGGACATGTACTGGCTTAAGCAGGGGGACACGTCTGGCACTGCAGGATTTGAGTCCCTGGCGGCGAAGTGTGCTACTGATGGTAGGCTTTGTTACTTTGGTCCCAGCTCTCTGCAGGTCATTCACTAGGTCCCCCCGTGTGGTTCTGGGATTTCTGCTCACCGTTCTTGTGATCATTTTGACCCCACGGGGTGAGATCTTGCGTGGAGCCCCAGATCGAGGGAGATTATCAGTGGTCTTGTATGTCTTCCATTTCCTAATAATTTCTCCCACAGTTGATTTCTTCAAACCAAGCTGCTTACCTATTGCAGATTCAGTCTTCCCAGCCTGGTGCAGGTCTACAATTTTGTTTCTGGTGTCCTTTGACAGCTCTTTGGTCTTGGCCATAATGGAGTTTGGAGTGTGACTGTTTGAGGTTGTGGACAGGTGTCTTTTATACTGATAACAAGTTCAAACAGGTGCCATTAATACAGGTAACGAGTGGAGGACAGAAGCCTCTTAAAGAAGAAGTTACAGGTCTGTGAGAGCCAGAAATCTTGCTTGTTTGTAGGTGACCAAATACTTATTTTCCACCATAATTTGCAAATAAAATGTGATTTTCTGGATTTTTTTTCTTCAATTTGTCTGTCGTAGTTGACGTGTACCTATGATGAAAATTACAGGCCTCTCTCATCTTTTTAAGTGGGAGAACTTGCACAATTGGTGGCTGACTAAATACTTTTTTCCCCCACTGTATCTTCCATTGTTACGGTTAATGTTGCAGTCTTAAAACATTTTCAACATGTACAGTATGTAGCTAGAAAAAAAAAAAACATTATACCTATTGTTTCCTGTAATGCCATGTTATTTGTAACCACATTTAAAACTAGTGGTTTGTTGCTGAGTGAGTTCCTGTGGTTAATAAGTGGAATCCTCCAGTACAATGCTAATGATGGCTATATTTGAATGTGTTTATGATAGGGCACAAAAGTAAGTGTATCATGTCTTGTCAAATGAAATCTACTCTCTATTAATAATTTGAATTGGAAAGAAAAAAAAAGAAAAAAATCAACTGCAATTTGTAAAATCAGATGGGGTGTCATCGAGTGATTCTGATCACCACTTAGCAAAACCACTAACAGTTTTCTACATGTTTGACATTACTATTAAGTTACAAAACTTACAAAATTGTACCCTCAAAAGTGTTTTATAGTTTATCCTTCCGGTTCCCTCACCATGATCTTTTAATCTGTAAATGGCTTTAGAGGGGCAAGAAGAAATCCGGCCATCTTGAATTGCAAAGAGAGGTAGCAAGACAGACAGAGACTATAAACAAGGTGGAGTGAATTTAAGGAATGGAGAGACAGCCAGCTAGAGATAATCTGGAGATAAGCAGATGGTTAGTGTCTGAGATAAGACCTGTACATCTACACTGAACAGAAATATCAACGCAACATGCAACAATTTCAAAGATTTTACTGAGTTGCAGTTCATATAAGGAAATCAGTCAATTTAAATAAATTCATTAGGCCATTATCTATGGATTTCACATGACTGGGAAAACAGATATGCATCTGTTGGTCACAGATACCTTAAAAAAAAGGTAGAGGCGTGGATCAGAAAACCAGTCAGTATCTTGTGTGACCACCATTTGCCTCACGCAGCGCGACACATCTCCTTCGCATGTTCGGAATGTTGTCCCAGTACTCTTCAATGGCTGTGCGAAGTTGCTGGATATTGGCGGGAACTGGAACACGCTGTCGTACGCGTCGATCCAGAGCATCCCAAACCTGCTCAATGGGTGACATGTCTGGTGAATATGCAGTCATTGGAAGAACTGGGACATTTTCTGCTTCCAGGAATTGTGTACAATCCTTGCGACATGGGGCCGTGCATTATCATGCTGAAACATAAGGCGATGGCGGCGGATGAATGGCAAGACAATGGGCCTCAGGATCTCGTCACAGTATATCTGTGCATTCAAATTACCATAGATAAAATGCAGTTGTGTTCGTTGTCCGTAGCTTATGCCTGTCCATACCATAACCCCACCGCCACCATGGGGCAGTCTCTTCACAACGTGGACAAAAGTAAACCGCTCGCCCACACGAGCCATCTGCCCGGTACAGTTGAAACCAGGATTCATCCATGAAGAACACACTTATCCAGTTTGCCAGTGACTATCGAAGGGGAGCATTTGCCCACTGAAGTCAGTTGTGACGCCAAACTGCAGTCAGGTCAAGACCCTGTTGAGGACGACGAGCACACAGATGATCTTCCCTGAGACGGTTTCTGACAGTTTGTGCAGAAATTCTTTGGTTGTGCAAACCCACAGTTTCATCAGCTGTCCGGGTGGCTGGTCTCAGACGATCCCGCAGGTGAAGAAGCCGGATGTGGAGGTCCTGTGCAGGCATTGTTACACATGGTCTGCAGTTGTGAGGCCGGTTGGAAGTATTGCCAAATTGTCTAAAACAACGTTGGAGGCGGCTTATGGTAGAGAAATTAACATTCAATTCTCTGGCAACAGCTTTGGTAGACATAATTTCAGTACACAGTACATATGAATTCCCTCGGCTTGAGTCATGTTGTGTTGGTGACCAGTGTCAGGATTCACTTTGGCTTAGAGGTGACATCCACATAGCGGTTGTTTCGACGGTGTCGGAGGTGGAATCTCATTAGAGCTGTCAAATCCACAAGTGGCTGCTGGCATTATACCTAAAGCGGCCATTGGCTGCACGGAGTTGCATTAACAGAAATCCCCATGCAGACTTGTTTACAAGTTCTAACACTAGAATGTGTAATGTTATCTAGACTTCGATTAGGATGATAAAAATCCTCATTATTTCATATAATGATTTTTCAATTTGAGCGTAATTATTTCTATATAGTCAACACTGCCAAAACATCCGCTTTGTGAGAGTGTCTGCTATCGGTTAACGCTTGATCTGATTGAATCTAGGCCTTACATGCTGACTACACCACTTGCATTGCGTGCGCAAGCGTTGCAAAATAAATGTACTCATACATGTTATTCAATAATTTCATCTAAACTGCTCGCGCGCGTCTACGCAGCCAGGCGCTAAAATAGAAATGGGTTCTATTTTTGATGCTTGACACGCTGCAAGTCCCACCTCTCCCATCTCCTCATTGGTTTTTAGGAGCATATACCCACTTGGGTGATTGAAAGATGAACTGAGGTCCACACTCCAGTCCAGTTGTTGGTGGTAATGCACCTTAAAGTTGGTTGCCAATCGACATATAAAGTCCACAGAAGAAGAAGAAGAAGACTACTACTACTACTACTACTACTACTACTACTACTACTATTACTACTACTACTACTACTACTACTACTACTACTACTACAACTACAGAAGGAGGAGAGATTACTAGAAACTAACTAGGTTTCCCCTTTTATCTGTGGATTAAATGTCGGAGTAGAGAACACATGATTTTGTGTTAATCAAAATGGGTCCGAATTCTACAAAGATCCAGAAAAAAAGGACCTTGTGCATTTCAGGTAAAATAACAACCCGATGTTTATACCCCAGGACAAATTAGCTAGCAACAGCAAGCTAGCTAGCTACAGTTGAAGTCGGAAGTTTACATACACCTAAGCCAAATACATTTAAACTAAATTTTTCACAATTCCTGACATTTAATCCTAGTAAAAATTCCCTGTCTTAGGTCAGTTAGGATCACCACTTTAGTTGAAGAATGTGAAATGTCAGAATAATAGTAGAGAGTGATTTATTTCAGCTTTTATTTATTTCGTCACATTCCCAGTGGGTCAGAAGTTTACATACACTCAATTAGTATTTGGTAACATTGCC